TTTATAACTTCTACATTCAGCCAGACGCAACCTTTTCATTTGCGATATATAACATTAAAATCGGTCAAACCGTTCTTTAGTTATAGCGAATTTAATCAAAATTAATATTTTCGTATTGGGAGCTAGAGTTCCAGTCGGTAGATACGTGGAGTCATTTAAATAACCGTACGTAGATAATTAAACCAAACAAAATTTGCAAAAACTTATGTTCTAAAAGTTTTTTTGTAACATGCTCCAATTCCCGACTGATACCATTAACAGCTAGTCTAGTATCTATGTATCTGAGAGCAAAGGAGTAAGAGAACAAAATTTTTTAATTTTCTTTGTTTCTAAGATGTTCAAAATGCCCTAAGGAACACGATAAGTACACACAATTCAAATTTGGCAATAGCAAAAAAAATTACGCGATTACAAAAAAGCTCTAAATTCAAAATTTTAATTTTAAAATTTTTTTTTGTTTCTAAGATGTTCAAAATGACCTAAGGAACACAATGAGTACACACAATTCAAATTTGGCAGCAGCATAAAAAATTACGCGATTTATTTCGATGTTTTACGGTAAAAATTAAAGAGATTGAAACTGAGTCGTGTGGAAATTCCGAGTAGGAATGTAAAGGATATTTTTCTCCTAAAACAATTCCTCTTTTCTCCCCCAAGAAAGAATGATTGCGGTGAATTTAGCTAAACCAAAGAATTTCGTAGCATCAAATCGATCTTTTTGGATTCACTTTAAAGATAATCGCTTTTCATCGTAAGATTCAATGTCCCGTTACGAAATTCCACATTCTCAAATACCTCCAATCTGCATATTCATCAATTTTCGAGACATTTGCCTAAATGTGCGGCACTTAAGGGCCTCTTTAAAGGCGCCTCCGCCATAAAATTGACTAATTACGTACAGGAGAACCATTTTACCTTCTCGCCTGCGACGCGGATGGGTGTAAAGGGGGGTGCCTTAGCAAGGCAAAGACAATAATCTTAGTTCGTTCGCGAAGTTTTGTTCGTAGTAACTCGCCGGGGCGTTTGGGGGCTAAAGAGTGTGGAGAGGGGGATGACGGTGTTAATGAAATTCGATGGCGCCGTAGACGCCTGACACGTTTCAAAGGGTAGCAATTGAATTCTAGGCCCCAAAGGGCAACTAGAACCAAGATGGTAAATATACAGGTTCACCCTTATCATATATTCATTATGTCGCATTAAATTTTATGACGCGAGTTGCTTAGGGGGTGTTTTGGAATTGAAGGGAATTAGGAATTAAATTAGAATAGTGTCAATAAACTTGAAATATTAATAAATAACAAGAGATGGACACGAGAAAAGAAAATCATTTTCACATTCTCAATGTGATATAGTGCGATATTCCTTCGCCGGTCGTATATTACACGTACCCTTCGCTGTAGCTGCCCTTTCTGAACCCCGTTCCAAGATATATATTAGGGCTGCAGGTCCAATACATCATCCTTTCCTCGAGGCGTCCGGAATGATATATAACGCCGAGAACAAGTTAACAATTGGACTACCGAAAGATGTATGTGCCGATTGGTAAGCCGTTTGGGGGATATTAATTAAGAAACCGGGGCAAATGGTTATCTCCAGAGGAATTGCACTTCGAAAAGACGATTTACCACTTATAAAGCTGATTGGAGAAGTTTCACAATCAACCAACTTAATTTATTTTATGTTCCTTTTCTACACCATATTTTATGGTTTTAAAACGATTATGAAACTGATAAACAATTATTAAGTATTGAAGTGCAGAGAAGATAGCTACTGTAGCTTGAAGACTAAAAGCAAAAGACTAAATATTCTAAGTTTGCCACCACAACTTTGTAAAACTATGTCGTCTCACAGTTTATCTTGATTCCATACGTCGGCCGCCCCAAGTATTACAAACACCAAAATCACACTTCTGTTAAAAGACTATGGCCAGCGTAATTCCAAACATTTTCTTGCAATTCAAAGATTGGCTAGACCATAAATATTACAAACACCAAGACTTTGTTAAACCATGTGAGAAAATCTTAAATATCATTGAAGAATCATTTTTGGGCAGCTAATAAGTGCTTCAATAAAGTCCATTACAATCACAAAAAGTCACCGTGTGGTGTGAACTAGAACATGCCACTATGTTAGAAGCCTATTTTTGGGCAGAATTGATTAAATGATGCCACATAGTCTAATGATCCCATCGATTTAAATCCATTACATTCTTTATATGCGGTTAGGCAAAATCGTTGGCTCATATCAACAAGCAACAAGGTTAGAGGAGCTCAGAATCAATATTAACAGCTGCTATTCGTTGCACTCCTATTGTCATAGTCTTGACAATGGATATGAATGGTGCATCTTGAATAGCTTCCCATGATAGATATCACTATGTTGCATAAACTAGAACTTATCTCAAAAAAAAAAAAAGTTCAAATTTTCAACTTTTAATTTTGACATATTAGTCAACTTCATAAAAAATGCTTTAAAATGAGTCCAAACTCGACATATTTAACTTTACTATTAATGGAAATATAATCACTTCCGGTTTGAAACGTCAACGTCAATTTTGACATATTTGTCATCTTCATTAAAAAACCTTTAAAATGAGTCCAAAGATGACGCACTTATCTCAAAAAACAAAAAAGTTAGAATAAAAAACATTAAACCGGAAGTTAGCAACAATGAAGATAGCAATTCAATTTTTAAATATTAATACCAACCTTAATTTTTGATTTTTTTTTATTATATTTTTGTTTTTGTGACAAATATTAAGACATTTTATAAAAATTAAGAATATGTCAAAATGACATTGACATTTCAAATGGGAAGTTGCTTATATCTCGAATAATATTGGAATTAAACGTATCATGTTTGGGCTCATTTTAAAGGATATTTCACGACGATTACAAATATGTCAAAATTGACATTT